TCATCTCATAAAAAAATCTTGGCCTCCTCTCTGATGCATTTATTTCCTTCGCACCCCACAGCCTGCTACCACTTTGGTCTAAGCAACCACCATCTCTCTATTGGATTAGGACCCTTTCTCTCTTCCCCAAGTACAGAAGCCAAGGTAACCCTTACAACCTTAAGTCATATCATTTCATAGCATTCCCAGGTTCAATTTCCAGTTGGTTTCCCATCAGAACAAAAGCCAACTGGTCTCTAAGGAAGTATGTTCTGGCTTTTCATTAATCTTCAGCTCAAATCTTCTGTGTTCCATTCCAGACCCAATCCTTCAGGAACTTAGCCCTGATATGCATTCTACTTTGGAATTTCTCCTAAGTTATCTTACATCAATTTCTTCTACTTTCTTTGGATTTCTCCTTAAATGTCACCCTATCCAGAGAAGCCTTCTCTATTTAAGTAAAAGATCACACGCTCCACCATTGGTACTCCTCCCCTGGATCGAGTTTTCTCTGATACCATCTGATTCATTAAATATTTTACTGGCTTATTCATTTAGTTTTTATCTTCTCAAAATTCATTTGAGCAAAGACATTCATCTCTTTCTTTCATAGCTGTATTCTCTGTACCTAAAAGAGTGTCTGGCAAATAGTAGATGTTCAGTAAACAACTCAGAACACAAAAAACCATTATTAACCCTGTGTCGCTTATACAAAATAGCATAATTCACATTTTGTATGCTAAAAGAAAAATTTCAGGGTACGAATAAATAAAACTCAAGGATTCTATCAAAATTTAGTGTGGCAAATACTACCAATGTTTTTTATGGTTTTTCTCAAAAACACTGCTTCGTTTAAGTAGTGTTGCTGATCTCTAGACTGGAAAAACAGGAGAATGGATATGGAAAGTAAATTAAGAACAGTAACTTCTTTTGTGTTCACATGCTAGGGCACCAAACCCTGAACAATTTAGCAGTGTAAAGTATCATAATTAGATCAGTTTCAGAGTCTGCATTTGAAACTGTAATTTAAGTACTCAGAATGAAATTTTAAGAAACAAAACAAAATTGCCTCCTTCCTAGGGAAATTCTGGTCTTTATTCAGTTTTTATGTGCATGTGTTTGTGTGTGTGTGTGTGCATGGGTAATAACGACAAGGAAGGACAAGGCTTTCGAGAAAATTAAAAATAAAATAGTACGATTTCAAAGAGAAAGAAATCGTTTCCAAGTAGATGCATGTAGAATAGATACTGTATCATGAAGTGTGCTTATAGTCAGAAAAAAAAAAATCCCTATAAACAGAACATGGTGGGAGTTCTGTATTTTTCTTTTAGCAATGGCTTCCAGATGAAACTTGCTTATTTTATAAGAGATGACTTTTTTCTAGCTGCCAGATTGCAAAATCCATCTGGGACCCGAAAAAAAAAATAAAGCTATATCTTTCCTGCATCTTAAATCATGACTATGATCTGAAGTTCCATAACTGGAAATGAACTGACCATTTGGTTGATTATGTGCAAAATGGGACAAATAGCAGCTTAGCTGTTTCACATCTGTAGTAAAGTAGGGTGTTAACTGCAGCTAAAAATTCTATTTGGGTCTAACATCAACAGCACATATGTCTTTAAAACATGCATGGAAGAACGTAAGTTGAATCAGAGTAGGCTTAGATGGTCTGAAAGTCAGATCACAGAATTAAAGGATCTGCCTTTTATTTAAAATTTCTCATTGCCCCCAGTTAACTGTATTGGACCCCTCATCATCTCTCTTGGTTTTCAAAAATTTATCTTGGAATATTAAAAATGTTACCTTCTGTAAGGAAGTTAAAGAGATTGAGAGAAAGTTCTGAGTGAATTTAGTACCATGTTATAGGTGGTACCTGTCATTCTAATCTACTTTAGCAACATTGGTCTGTTTCTTCTGTATTGAGTTTGCTTATTCTGTGAAACCACAGAACAAAAAATCTATTCCCTTAACTTTTCCAGTGGGAAGGTGGCTAGATTTTCATAGACAACTGCTAATCTACACAAAAATGATCCTGTAAACTTTCCAGTGATGGAATAGCCCTCACATTGTTGAACATGGTTCAGAGATTTGTTGTTGCTGCTGTTTTGCAATTTTAGATGCTCAGAGGATGACGTTTGCTAGTTTTAAGGTCACATTGAGTTTCTGAGTCACTTATGCCCATTTTTTTTTAACTTGACTGCTTTAGTCCTTATAAAATTATCACCAAATGCAAAAAGCTGTGACTGGCCTGTCCATCCTTGTACCAGCTGAGAGAGGCAGAAGGAATTGCATAAGCTTCACATTCCAAGGTCAGGGTGTTGTTTACTTTGATCTTCACTTCTTTAGGGGAAAGTCCTGGCCCCAAAATGTCTCCTTTCTTGATTATGGGTGGAACTGCAGAAAATGAGTATTAAAGAGTGAAACATCAGTTCCTTAAAAAATACATGAAATGCCATGGAAATCACACGGAGGATCATGTAAAAAAAAAAAAAACAAGGAAATAGCAGATGCATTTCCCATGATAGCCTCTCATTAAGGACCAAAGTTAACATCTTATGGAAACAGTAGTTTTCAGATACAGGATGTGAATATAAATATTCATTATGATACTGCCATTGAAGCTCACATCCTTTATAGAACAGTTTCATTTGCTCTAGGTCCACAGACAACCCAGGCATGACCCGAAAACATATTTTATTGGTCGTTAAGGGTACTGAGTCAAAGAACAAACGACTATCAGAAACATACTCTTCCTTTATAAATATAAAAACCAAATGTTGAGATGTGAGTCCTATTAATGGCAATATTAGCTTTGTCTTTTGTTTATAGGTAAGTGTACATTGGAATATCACTGATGATCTCGTCTTGGGTGGTTGATTATAGCACATTCATCTAATGACAGTTTTGTACATGAAAGTAGTATAAATCAACCCAGAGTCATTCAGAAGGAAAACTAGAGACGCTTAAGGAAGTGCCACTGACAAAGTCTCCAGTAAGAAGAGAGTGGACTGAGTGGCCCCTTCACCTCTTTAAGTAATTGAGGCCAGGGACATAATGCTTAATTCAGCTCCCATCCTTAAGGAAGCAAGCTGCATAAACAAGAGTCTTTAATGATGCATATAAATGTTTATGAACCATAATGAAAAGTAGGATTGAACAAATCAGAAAAATCAGAGCAGATGTGAAACAGTGTTCTTTTGGAACTTACTGTAGACCTTCACTTCATAGTGCTTAATCATCTCCCCAGCCTCATTAGTGGCCACACAGGAGTATCGCCCAGCGTTGTCCTCCTGTGCATTGAGGATCTGCAGAGTCCTACCACCTGAAAAGTCATGGAATATCAATGAGTCTCTCGAGTCACCGTGGTATCACAGTACGCTCAAATGTAAAGGTTTTAGTTCTTACAGTTAGAGTATTTCTTCTCATACATGCTGATTCTGTGAAAGACATCTGACCTTGACAAAGTACAGCATGCACGGGCACTGCAAGGCTGGTGAGGACAGCCCTGGGGGCACCACAGGTCCTCTGTGGTGAGGACTCTCATGCCCATTCTGACCCCCTCTGCCTCTATACTCCTCCTTATATCACTTTCTTTATAAGTAGGTTTTTGCTTTAATTACCTTTTTACTCTCACCTGCCTGGCCTATCAGGCAAGATTAATTGTGTTCAAATACCATTCTTATGATGGTACTTTTCTCCTTAAAACTGTTATACAGTTCTCAATTGATTAAAGAAAAAAGTCAAAACTCTTTAATCCAGGAACTCAAAACATGATTCTAACTTTCCTTGCTTCAGCCGCTCCCCACTCACCCACCCATGCACACAATATCTCCACTCCAGTGGGGTTGAGAGGTACACCTATTACTTGCTCATGGCTAGGCCATTCTTACTTTGTGCCTCTCTTGCACTAATCACCTTAATGGATCCAAAACCTGTCCTAACTCATTTCCAGTCAACTAACAGTCAACTACATTCTAGAACTTTCTCTAAAGTTGGGTTCAAGTTCTGACAAAGTAACAAAGCTTTTTCTGACCACTTGAATTCACACTGGCCATTTCTTCTTTTGAATTCTTTTAAAAGTTTTCATTACCCCATTTATCATACCCTGACTATTCATAATTCATGATTATTCAGACTCACATTATTAATGAATTTTTGCATGTTATCTCTCTTCCATAGAAGACTATAAATTTCTTAAAGTCAATGATTATACCTTTTAATGCTTTCTGTTTTCATATGTATATTTCCAGATTCAAAGAAGAATAAATTAATTCTTTCAATCTAAATGCTAACTCAGCTTCAAGTTTCAATTCAATAGGAAATGAATTTCTATCATTTTCAACATGCCACATTACACTTTAACAACAGGTTATATTGTTGTATTTATTTATTTGCCTTTTTATGTATACATTGTTCTGATCTTTCAAAATAATTTTTCAGTCTGTTATAAAACAGACAACATTTAAAAATTTTAACAGAAATAGAGCACGACACAACCAATAACGTAGGTACTTTTATAAAAAGTAACTGATGACTCTGCTTTTCTACAATCGTAGATGACAAAGATGCATCTTAAGTAAGTTTTTTACCTGGAAGTATACGAATATTTTGGTTAGATTCTAAAGGAGCGCCATCCTTAAACCAGGTGATGGTAGCTGGAGGATATGAATAAGCTTCACAGACCAGAGAGGTGGGGCTATTCAGGATAACAGTGACATCTTCATGGCTGCCATCACCATCCACACCAGCAATTGTAGGAGACACTGAAAAAGATTAAAATGTGATTGAAGAAATATATGTATAAATGTCTCTATTTTTGCATTTCTAAATTTCCATTGTACACATATATATTTTCTATTCCCTAACAGTTGTAGAAAACAGTTAATTACTGTTGTTAACTCAAAACAAAAGCAGCAAAATCCCTCAAAAATCTCCCAGGGTAACAGAGGAGATAACACATTAAAAAGAATCCTAACCTAACATAATAAGGACGACAATGGGAATGTTGGGGGGAGGTAAGCAGAGGCTCAGCATTCAGTCCAACCTGAAGTCAGCGTGGGGTGTGAAGTGTCTCACTAGGGAAGGCCTCTTAAAGATGCACACAATAAAGTGAGCCTGAAAGGATGCACAGTAGTGAGTAGGTGAAAAGAAGGGAGACTCAGAAAAAGAGGGAGTGTATTGGGAACAGAGCAGTTGTAAGCATTGAGGGGCAAACAGGGAACACGGAGAAGACAGCCTTGAGTGGGTCAAGATCAGAATCAAGAACAAAAGGGACAGGTGCATTTGTTTCATAAAAGATAACGAGGGACTGAACTAGAACACATGGGAAGATATAAAGAGGAGGGAGCAATTAAAGAAAGATTAAGGACGCTAATGTGTAGGACTTGAGGATGGTATTTAGGGACTAAAGGAAACTGAGTGCAGAGAAAACACTTAGTTTTCTTGCTTGGGAACTTGTCAAACTTCAGTGAAGCAAAAACATATAGCAAGATTTGTCATTCCTAGGGGAAGACGGTCTATTCAGTTGTGAATATCTTATACTTTAAGTGTCTATGAGCATTCCAGGTAGAAATGACCAATAAGCAATTCTATATGGGAATTTGAGCCTTGCAAGAAATATCTGGGTTGCAGGTATGGCTTTTCAGTCTTTTGTCTATAGGAGATGATGAGTCTACATCTGGGAATGAATTGTATAACTTGAAAAGCATAGCTAGAGCAGGGATTTTCACCCGGTGCACCGCAACACACTGGTGTGCCGTGAGAGGATCTCAGTTGTGCAGCAAATAATTTTAAAGATCATTAATTAAATTGTTTTCAAAAGAAGTTCAAAGCACAGTAAGTGCATTCTTTTTAGTAATCCTTTTTTTGATCAAACATAAGTGTGCCACAGAAGTTTAATTATAGGTTCAAGTGTGCTGTGAGATTTTTTAAAAAAAAATGTTGAAAAGCACAGACCTAGAGTAACAAGAGCAGAGAAATAAGGACAAAATACTAAGGGCTCAATGTGCAAGATCAAGTAAAAGTTCATAAAGGAGAGAGAAAGGGAAGCAATCAAAGGTGTGCAAGAAAAACTAGGGAAGACCACCGTCCAGGAGAAAGAGATCTAATGTACAAAACATTAAGATTATGACTGAAAAATATTTGCTGGACCTAGCAACAGGATAGTTCTTGCCAAAGCAGCATCAAGAAGGATGTGGGCTGGCTGG